TGACGTCACGAGGATGAAATCTATCTCCACGGCATAACGGGGCGGAAGTGTTTGTGTGTGTGTGTGTGTGTGTGTGTGTGTGTGAGAGAGAGAGAGAGAGAGAGAGAAAAGGGGTAATTGCAAATTGCTGAAAACTTAAGTAACGAATAATAAACCATAAGCAATGTAAGACCGTGTGTACCAAGGTTTGTCGCTAATATGGATGAAGGGCTACAATGCTTCTTATGCTAAGTCATTTATCAATCCATATTATAAATCCATTTATAAATTTAAATTCAACTGGATATCAGTTTAATGCCCTTGTACTGCGTTAAATAACCATGGCAACGCGTATGATCACGTATGACGTCACAAAGAAGCTCCGCCTGCTCCGCTGCCCGCCTCCATTTGTCTCCATTGATTTCACCAGCAGTAATCACGTCGTTCAGCCAAAGAACGCTGCAATTCTTTTATTTTCCACCAAAGCAGTGCATTTATGAGGTGGAAACATTTACATGTTGACTGTTTGGCGAACCGCGGCTTCATTAAACATGATATAATAGCGTCTAAGGCGTTCTTCAATAGAAGCCTATGTTGGGTCCAAAGTTGACGCAAAATTGAAAGAAAACATTGAAAACTTGTTTGAGAAACAATGTATGCGTGTAACAATTATTTGTTAGACTAAAAGCATAGAAACAACAAACATGTGTGCCCCTGAGAGTGACGTGATTGTGATTGTATTGTTACATGACCGGTTGTAACTGTGGTAAGTGACTGTGTAGAACTCAGTCAACCCTGGCCTGTATATATACCGCTTTTGTCAACTCCAGTGTCTCAGTGGGATAATATAATGACAAATATTGGCAAGTAAATATTTCTGGTCTTCTGTCTGAATAAGAATCAGGAATAAGTAAAAATTAAGATATATGTTCTAGGATTTGATATAGGCCTGTAAAATGTAAGTTGTTCAGATTTTAGTGCTCAATAAATAATAATAATTATAAAGAGTAAATATATTCCTGAACAACAAATACATTAATCGGCCACTCTACGTCAGAGATGCTGAGGATGCGGAAAAGATTGAGACTCTATCACGGACTCGGAGTTATCGCTGAAATTTGACATTTTTTGGTATCGCATCGACATTTAACGTTCTTGTTTTAATCGTCTTCGTCTTTCTCCAATTCAATAAAACACTTCTTATGTTCCTGTTTTTACTATATTACCAAAGCACACAATTAAATTTAGAAATGATCTCCCTTTCCTCTGAGCACGGAGAGAAGCTCCACGACAGTCAGTATTCCACGCATATGTAGCCTTGCCTCGATTGCTAAATATCCCTTTCAAACAGAAGAAAAGCCAATACGATCGCCTTGAGGGTTGTTTCTCCATTGTTGTGGTGGCGTCGTCGCATCTACCACACCTCAACCCACAGACAGACCAGGGTTCCGTATCTCGAAAGCATCGCGCATTGCGACCGAGCGCAAGCGCCTCGATTCCATAACTCGCCTATACTCGTCCCATATAATACATTGTAGCCTCTATGTGATATCGCTATTATATGGGGAGTGTAAACCCCAAGTTATGGAATAGAGACGGTTGCGCTCGGTCGCAATTCGCGATGCTTTCGAGATACGGAACCTTGAGATGAGACATCTCTATGACTATGACAGTGACTACATTATACACCTTAAACCCCCTTTACACTGGATGGCGTCCTTCTGCGTCCTTTGTGCGACCATAAAACTGGCATCGCTGTGGTCGTAGAAAGGAGGCACAAGCATCGCTTTGGTTGCAGAAAGAATGCCCAATTATCCGCCAGGTGTCGGCACGTAAAAGCATTCTATTTTTTACTCTCAAAACGGGGCCGTACAACGGGACGCAGAACGGACGCCGTCCAGTGTAGAGGGGGCTTTAGCAAATGACTTCTCTATGACATTGACACCGCAGCAGACGACATCTCAATGACTATAACACCACAGCAGACTACATTGTCATTGCAGTGACACCACAGAGAACGACGCGGAAATAATCGACGCGAAATAAGGTGACGCCATATAACAAACTGGTTATGTTCTTTAAGGTTGTTGTATTATTCAGTTAGCATTTTAGTATTTAATTAAGTATTTTAAATTTCCCACATAAAATAAGTGTTGTAGATAAAACAAACGGTTTACACATTGTAGTATTTTATTTTACCTTTAAAAGATTACAAACAATTTCNTCCCCTTTAAATCCGCCACTGAATTTAAACCTCATTATTTTTTGTGACTCAAGGAAAAAAAAAATATATATAATCAGACGCGAGTCCACCTTATCACTGTTACGTGATCACATGTCATGTGACCACCGCACTTTGAGACCAGGAAGACTCACTGTCGACATTAGTCCAGGACCAAAGCTCCAAATATACGCTACATTTGACCCGTTCTCCCATATATCTGCTAATTGCAACAGGTAAGTTTGTTTCCATGAAGATAAATTTAGATTAAAAAAGTTTGCCAAATGTGAGGAAGGTTTTGGCATTTTCATAGGCCATATATTTAAATATATTATGCATTATGTAGAGTCAACATTAATGTACACTTACTCTTTATCTCTATCCTTTACCAATAAAACCGTACTCCAATAGGGGGTCAATCTTTTATATATGTATTATAACTTAACACATACATTATTAAAGTGAAATGTATCTTTCTCAACACAATATATAAGAGTCATGTTCACTAAGATGATTTTCGAAGGACTAAGGACCTCGTCGCCCTTTTTTTCTGACAAAAATCTGAGTTAAAAAATGCAAATCCCTCTGTCAGACCTTCACGTGACCCACCAGTCACCGCAGTGCCACCAAGCGGACATCGTCGTGACTATGGTCTAATGAATAGACTGAAAGCTTGACTGGTTTTCAGAATGATGCAGATTTATTACGTTTTAACGTTTAACTACGTTTTTACTTCTGCAAAATGATGTCTATAATCATGGTAGTTATCAAGAGAGCATATCTCAATACCGTACAAAGCTTCATATCCATTATACAGACCTAGGGACATATACCATCATACAGCGTATGATATAACAAACATACGATCCTCATTGAAAAGATAATCCATTGAGATTGAACGTACATACTGTATATATACATTATAACTCCATATACTTTCCCTTTCTTGTTATAAATATTATCTACATAGCTCGGTACATACACAACAGGGACAATGGACATACATAAGCACCACAGCATTTGATGCGTTAGTAAAGAAATAGGTAGATAAAAATACACTAAACATATTGTCTGTTATAGAGAGCTATCAGTTAAGAGGGGTTTATGTCAACATTGTGACGCTGTTCCAGTTATTGATAATTTGCGCTCTTTTATCAGTCTGCAAAAAAATAAATAAATAAATAAATAAAAAATAAAAAATAAAAACAAGCACAGGTCAATGTTGCGATAAGTCTTAATATTTGCGGTGGCATTATTCCGATGCATTAGGTATCTCAGTTCTAGCTCTACACATCATTATAAAATTTTTAATGAGTAATATAACGGTATGAAGACCCGTTGTAAGGTAACTGAGGGTCCGTGTAACAGAAAGTCCGCCCTCCTTATAGTTATAATGGTTAGGGTTAGTCTGACCTAAGTGGGTCAAAATCTAGGCTCACCAGGCTCACCTGTGCAAATGAATGGGAAGCGGACTCTCTGTTATGGGGGACTCTCTGTCACGTTACACCGGTAGCCTGTTATCAATGGCACCTAACTCTAACCGTTCTAGTTTCCACTGGAGCTGTAATTCATCGTTTTTAAGAATGCCCATATGTTCTGTACGTGAACGCATTCCAATAATAAATGTATGGATTTTTCGGTCTCAATTTGGCAAAAGGTACATAACCGTGACTCAGTGAGCCTCATTTTCTCCAGCCGATAGTAAAATAGATATCATGATTTATCTTAAACTGAAATGTTTGCAGGTCGGCTTTTTGAGTAGACGTAAAAGGTGCAGTGTAAATCAGAGATCATGTCTCTTTTCAAAGCAAGGCCTCGATTCTTATCTCCCAGTTCGTGTTAGTCCTGTCTAAGGATGGGTTACTGCCTTTTAAGAACGTGCTATAAAAAACTTGGTTACCTTATGTTTTGATTTGAGTACTGTTATATTAATGCCCCAAAGAATCTCAAGAAAGGTATATGATTAATGCAAAGAACCTGAAGAAAAATTGCCATTGGTAACAAAATACATGAATTCTGTTAAATGTATGATGTAAACCATTGTAAGCAACAGTATTATCAACACACCTTTCACATTATCTGCCTTTTCAATTAACCTACAGTAGTTATTCATGCATTTTTTATTTCATATTTATTCATGAATCTGGACTTTAGTATGTTATATTAGTATAATATCATTTTATTATTTTTAATTATAACTCTTTTTGTTAACGGTTTAGTTAATTAGGTAATATTATAACATAATGCTCGCCCCCCCCCCAAAAAAAAGATAAGAAACGAAAGTTTTGTTTTGACATTGTGATTCAAAATAACCGAAAACTGCACATGCTAGTCAAGTAATGATCACTGTATTCAGTGACATAACAACACCCTAAAGGAAATCCTAGTCAACTAAGCCAGGGAACTGACTTTAGCTTTTTTGGTGGTCCATGAGGATGGTACTAGGCTGTATTACAGCAGCCAGGGGAGGGCACACGTGTTACTGAACAATACACTACCATTTATGCACAACTCCTATGCATGTATGAAAACGCGTATTAAAACGAAAAAAAGGGGGGAAAAACTTGCGTTTCTTTTTTGGCTGGTATACTGTGGAAATGCTTTTAATAAGATTAGAAATAATTTAAAATCACAATTTAACCACTTTTATGACATAAACACTAACTTCTTAATGGCATAATTCCACATGTAAATCACAATTCAACCACTTTTCATAAAATTAACACTGATTTCTTAATGGCATAATTCCACATGTAAATCACAATTCAACCACTTTTCATGAAATTAACACTGATTTCTTAATGGTATAATTCGACATTTAAATGCACTTTCGTTGTTCTTAGGTCTTCTCTTCCAGTAGTACCCACATTGTGAAGTCAGACAGACGTCGAACCCATTTTTCATCTTATTAACATTCAGTCAAGTTCTACGTGAGAGGAGGCTGACAGGTGAAAATGGAAAGAGAGGGTAAGCATTAATTCTACCTACTCATAGAGCATTTCTGAGATCCAATTAACGAAAGGGTAAGCATTAAGTAAATCAAAAAACAGTAAAAGATAAATTTGACATCCTGTCACAATATAAACCGAGCTGCAGTGCTTTGAAAACATAGTTGTGTACTCTTTTTTGCAAACATGGCACCCTGAGCTTCAGAGATAACTTGACACTGACCTCTTCACAATAGCTTATCTTCATCGTGTCAAGTTACTTCTGACGAAAATAGTTTGACCTAGTTTATATAAGCCAATCGAATCCATGTTTCAAACATTTTCACCAAAGTTTGTTGAAACGCTGATTGGTTGAAAGTCCAGAATTATGTCCAACGAGAAAATTGTATTTCGTTGCGTCCGCATTACCGTCAATCGGCACTCCTCGGCTGATTCCGCAAGCTCCATACTAACAACGATGTTATTGTCGAGTGCGAAGACATCCGAGTAGTTCCGAGTGCATAACCGTACACACACACAAAAAAAAGCATGGCGTCTCCTACCAGTGACTACGTAAAAGAATGTGTTAAGTTATCTCTTGATTCTTTGCAAAATATGAGTATATCGGAATTGAAACCAGAGCAGTTTGAGGCCCTGCATCATTATCTACTGAGGGATGATGAGGGATGACGTATTTTGCGTACTGTCCACAGGTTACGGCAAGTCCCTGATATTCAGCATTATCTTTGATTGGTCCGGATTTGAACAAAGCGCGCTTTGACTCGTTCGCGTTCATTGGCTAGATCGTTCAATGAGTCATTGAGGGCGGGCTTTAAATTTGATTGGCGGGCGGTGCGGGCAATCGAATGTGGTCAGAGGTAACTTGACACGATGAAGATAGGCTATAGTGAAGAGGCTTACTAGTATCTCTGAAGCTCAGGGTGAAACATCGTGACCTGATAGTCATTTTATCCAAACTCCGATATGGATAATTTCATTTATAATTTTACCTAATCAAGTACATCTTAGTTATCTGAATATATTAAACCTCATAACTCGATAAGGGTATACGTAAGAGGAGAGCTCACAATGAATGGAATTTCATTCATCATAAATCCATATTCATCTGCAATATTTTTTTCTTTGTAACATCAAGAACATTTAAGTATGTACAAAGCAGAAACAATGGATAATATTCTTGTTAACTTAAAAAAAATAAAGGTGGAATGCTTTGATAACATAACTTTGTATGATTTTGTTGTACATTGCTACGCAGAAACCATTCTATTCATGCATACAGATTGCATATTTACATTAAGACTTACATGAGCAACTGCATTTTATAAGATATGGAAGGTATTAAACTCCAAACCCGGATATAGGTGGTATGAGAGCTTACAATATGTGGGATTTTAAAATTCATAATGCATTCATAATTTAAAAATTCAATATAAATCTATATTCATCTGGATATTTTTTCTTTCAGTAACGTCAAGAACATGTAAGTATGTACAAAACAGGAACAATGATATTTGGTCTTGATAACTTTAAAAAGGAAAATGAAACTGGAATGCTTTGATAACATAACTTTGTATGTTTTTTTGCACATTGTAAAGCAGAAACCACTGTATTCATATAATTTATAAAATTGCATATAATCATTAAGACTTACAGAGGCAACTAAATTCTAGGCGTGTGAATGTTTTAAGTGAAACCTTCATTAATGTTACATTTATATTCATCTACAATATTGTTTTCTTTCAGTGACAAGGCGTAAGTATTGAGGAAACAAGGAAAATAAAAACACATTTATATCAATAAAAAGGGAAGATGAACTATGTTTTACCAATGTTAAAATTGTTTTGTAAGCTTTCTGTGAAGATTGTGATTTGGCAGTTATTTTAGCAAAATGCTATAGTTGCATAATTTCAAAAATATTTTTTTTACACAAGCAACTACATTTTGGAAACCCTACGACATATTTAACTTCATACCTCGATAAGGATAGGAAGAGAACTTACAATATGTGAAATCTCATTCTATAATATATATATATATATATATATATATATATATATATTATAGAATATTTATATATATTTATATATATATTTATATATATTTTTTTTTCTTTCAGTCAGGAGAACAACACGTAAGTATGAAAAATGCCAGGAACAATTATATATATTTCAGTCAACTTAAAAAAAAAAGAAAATAAGAATGGGGTAGTTTGATTACATAATTTTGTACGATTTTGGGAGACATTGGAAATCATTTTTGCATTATTTTATAAAGACTTACAAAAGTAACTAGATTCTAGATGTTTAATGATATTAAACTGATATCTCAATTAGGGTAAGAGAATAGCTTACAAGAGGTGGAATTTTTTACTCATATTACATCTGTCTTCATCCACAATACATTTTTTCCAGGGGATTTTGGTGGTAAGTATTGATGAAATTAGAACACATTTACAGATATATTTGCCAGCCCTTTTAACAGGTAAAATAGATTTGTAGTGCTTGTTTAAATAATTGTGTAGGCTTTTGGTAAACCTTGTGATTCGGGAGCCATTTTATCCAAACTGTAAAGTTATACATAAGACTTGTACATTGTAAATGCCAGGACGAAATCTTACAGTAAGAAGAGTTTTCACCATTTTATATCCATCAATCTACATTTGCAATATGTTTTTTTTTCAGTCAGAGAATGTAAGTATTGAAGAAATCAAGAAATGACAAAACGTACCCATGTCAACCTTTAAATTATGAACATTAAACTGCAGTGTTTTGATAATCATTTGTGTACGCTTTTGGTTAACAAGGTAAATTGGAAACGGTTTATCCAATTACAACTTCCAATTTTCATTAAGATTTTCACATTGGCAAATACTCCCCAGATGTTTAAAGATATTTTAATATTTTAAGGATATTTTAAAAGATATTAAAAACCTTTATGTCTCAATAAAAGTAGGGGGGTGCTCACATTTTTTAAAGTTAATAATCTTTATTCATCTACAATATCTTTTATTTCAGATCGAGAGTGTAAGTATAGTAGAGCAGGATTCAAGAGGGTTGCGCATGCCCGAAAGATTACCAATTTTTTGTACCTGGCAATGACCTACATGCTTACCTTTATATGAAAATGTCAGTCTGCCGTATTTCCAGTGGTGGGTGTGGTCGGGGTGGGGAATTCAAAACAAAGACCCTCAAATCCAGCTAGCTGGACTTTTTAGGGGAACCCTTAGAAACCTATTGGGGGTCTTTTAGCATGGTCTCAGGTATATTAAATATATACTGACAGACAAATTGAGTGGTGGGGTGTGGCCGGCAGACCCTGATTTATAGGGGGTGGAAATCCGGCTAGCATGCACCAAAAGTTAACCCTAAAAATAACTGTAAAATGTTCCTTAGAGTCCCAGGGAAGTTGAATGACTTCAGGTGTGTCTGCTGGACACTGTACCCACAAGTGGTGGGTATAGTGTCCAGCAGACACACCCAAAGAGTCACACCCTTTAGGTACAGCTAGCAATAAATGGAACTTGGGTGCTTTAATTTTTTTCCGATTTTGTTGAACATTGCTAGGCAGAAACCATTTTATTCATACAAATTGCATGTTTACATTTAGACTTACACAAGCAACAACATCTTTGATATGTAATTTCAAATCTTGTTGGAGAGCTTGCATTGTCTTAATAACACATCTCAATTTTCTTCAGATTTTAAATATTCCGCTTGGGTTCACAGTGACGATGAAGGTGAGCACTTACACTGGATCTCCTGAAGTGGTCTGACTCTGCATTTTTCAGACTAAATTTTCCAACTTTAATGAAAAATCATGTAATAGTTAAAACCTTGATGTTCAAGGATGATAATAATGTGATTTTTAAAGATTCAGTGTTTTCTTTAGCATACTTTTTTTGGTAGAAAATGTTTCAATCAACAAAGAGGGTAAAAGGCGATGAATGTTGTTTCGTAATATTAACCTTTTACCTTAAAGGTACATACGAACCGAGCATCGGTGGAGCGTGGATTCCCAGTAACACATGTAAACCACTTCTACTAGATTCTTATATGACTCAAATAAATTCGACATGCCAAGGGATAAACTGAATAGATCACTTGATCAGCCATAAAAAACCTTTAGACTGCTCCTTTCTTTAAGTTTTTGGTTGTAAATTTAACCTACTTTCATGACCTACTTTCCTGCCCCAGAAAAATCCGTTAAAACATCATTTTTGGCTAAAATTAAACAATGCCTTCTGGTAATTCTCTTAGTTATACTACTTGAAACTATATGCTGGCATTTGGTTGGTTTTTGTGACAAAAATTTGACTTTGTGTGCATCTTTAAGACTCCAGCGAGGAGAGAGCAAAACACAATGGTTCCAGGACAGTGTTGAACCGGATGATAGGACAGAGTAGCTACAGAGAAGTGGCTGCTCCCACCACTACTGTAGATGGCGCTGGAGACAACCCTGTTGGAGAACTGCAGGAGTTAGCGCAGAAACGTCTACTGAGTCCCCCGCAGTACGAGATAACCAGTGTGAGGGGACCTCCCCACGATAGAGAGTTTGTGTGCAATGTGAAACTGGGGAGGATTACAAAAAGAGGTGAATTAATAAGTTTATCATTCAAAGTTTAAAATGCCCGATGTGTTCACAATTTTAATGAAGTCTTCCTCAGAAATGCCATTGATTCTCATCCGAGTGGTGTATGGGCATAATGATTGTGTTATCCATTATGTCGCAATGGAAGGTAGTTGGAAGATAATGTTTGAATTTTGTGACTTGAATTTTATGCATATCTAAAAGGTTGCACATTATATTTTGTATATTGTGAAATAGGTGTGACAGATAGGTTATTGAACTAATTCCTCTGTGTAATAGGTTAAATAGTAAATAGCACAACGTGGCTTCTATGTTTTATGATACAGAAATACAGAGCCATTAAAATCAGGGAGTACAAAGTTACTTTGGCTTTGAACTACTGTATGTTGCCTGATTGTCTGTTAAATCCATTAATACAATTTTAGTCTGAAGTGTGAACAAGGCATGACAACCGAAGAATTCACTGAATTACAATTCTAAACTGCTCAGTGTTTGCCATGCAGGCACTGGGAAATCTAAGAAGAAAGCCAAGTACAATGCTGCCATGAAAATGATGCAGGCCGTGGACGTGACGTCTCTGTCGCAAGAAGATCTAGATTGTCCCTGGGAGGAAGAGGATG